ACCAGCCCCCTCTTAAACTAAGCGTCTCCTCTTAGCACTTCTCTCTCATCTTTCACTCTTTCTTTATCCTTCACTCCCGCTTCTCTGTCGTTTCAATTTCACTCGTCTCTCGGGAATTAAATAAAAACCGTAAATTCCGATTTAACGATCGTTCTCTAGATATATTACTGCATGTAGGTAGGCCTTACCTACCTGTCTGGAGACACAGACACCAAATTACCTATTTACCCATTTGCCCATTTGCCCATTTACCCGTTTACCCATTTACCCTACTAGTTAGTATCGATTCGAGAGGCACCGAGGCGGATGAATGAGCAGCCGCAGGATCTTTCAATGACTAACGAGTCCCAGTCGTGAGACAGAGTGCGACGGTGCGATGCTTCCTGGAAAATGTGTCTCTCGAGTACAGATCCTTTTCTCCGGGGATCTAAGAGCCGGAGGTCGATTCTTCACACCGGGCAAGTCAATGCGTTCGGTTCTTCTCTTTAATAACGTCATTTCTCTTCAATTCTCTTCGGTGTCATTTTCGAGAAGGCTGTAGAAGAAGGAGAAAGAGAAACGGAGTTATTCGAAAAAAAAATACGCTGTATCCGATTATTCAAATTGTGCTGATTAATTAAACACATCGTTCTTTCTCGTGCGGCAAATTGCCGTCTTCTAAAATTACGTTTAAGCAGAGGGCGCAGAGAGCGCAGACTCTCTAGAATGGACGAATGAATGAGCAAACGAATGGTGGAGACGCAGAGAGAGAGAGAGAGAGAGATAGAGGCGAATAAGCAAACGAGTGCATGGGTCGACGGAGCGTCGTAGGGGGCAGAGACGGGGAAAGGGAAGAAATAAAGGCGAAGATGGCTACGAATTTAGATGGAGTTCGCTCCAAGGGCCACCGAGAGAGGAGCCGCCCTACCGTTGCGATTCTCACTTAATTACCTAAGCTGTACTTAACGTTGTAAGCGTCGTGAATGCTAGTGGAACATTTAGAGAATTTCATTGAATTCTAAGATATTGTGAAGTGATCACGTGATTAGGTACGTTTTAGAAAGAAAATTAACTTTAAGAATAATGATAATTAAGGGATTAAGGGATCGTTAAGAAGACTCGTTCAGCGATGCATGGGATTCGCAGGTGCAGGTGCAAATGCGCGGGTCGCACGGAGCTGCTCCTCGCAGATTCGCCTATTTAACCCTTTTCATCTGCCAATTTATAGGCTGCAACTAAGCGATTTAACCTTTCGACTTTTCTGCTTGCAATCCCAGTTGTCCTCTCTTCTCTGAAATCTCCATTAACCTGGAGGCCGTTGGTCATTTAATTATCGCTTCAATTCTACCAAGTCCTTTCCAGCCCGTAATGCTCTCTTAAAGCCCATGAAATCGTGTCAAGTCCAATATCCATAAATACGATAGCTCATTTTTTATCAAACAAACAAAAATGAAAAAAAACTTGTCGGCTTTGTGCGTCCCGCGCGTTGACTTATCAAAGCAATTATAGAATCGACAGTACATACGTATAGGATAAGATAAGTTAACGGAGAAGTAACATTAGTGTACTATCGGTAAAATTCACGGAGAAACGATAACAGCTGATTCGAATAGTTTAGGATTTTGCTGCGAGTCTCGCGCGACGTTAGGCCAATCTGTAGTGGCGACGTGATACATCGTCACCTCGTCTCCTGGACAAAGAGAACTGCAAGACGGGAGAGGGATGCGGCTACAGAAGGAAGTGGAGGAACGATTGAAGAAAACGGAAACGAGAAGGAGACACATGTGTCACATCCGGGACTAAAAGGAGCAGGAAAGTAGGAAAGTAGGTGAGACAAATAGATGCGACCGATCCAATGTAATTCGATCGTCTGTGCTGGTGTAAATTGTTATTATACGAAGCGTATGGAGAATAAAGTGGAGCGGAGGTAGGGAGGGA